TGGACAAGTAAAGCTGAGGCCCAGCTGTCTCACTTAAGGAATAGAAACTGAGGCAAACTCTCAGTTAGACTGAGATTCAGTGAAATATGCAGGTCTGGCAGAGAAGAGGGACTCTTCTCTGGAGGTGCTTGGTTTTCCTCCATTCCCATCTCTCCCTCCTCTTCCCCCCCTTTTTAAAAAAAATTTGTCTTCTATTTTTGTTTACAGAGGAGCAAGTAAAGACCCATGAAATCCTCAGAATCTTTGTGAATAACTTTGGTCAGAGGTGGCCAGAAAGCATGTAGAGTTGACCAAAATGGGTGGATTGGATTCTTACACCAAATTCCAGAATTCTGAGTCCACCCCTGCTCTGGGAACACTGGGAGTAACATACCACTTCTGATGGCTCCTCTTCAGATTGTCTCCTTTTGTAGTCCATTGATTGGGGTGGAAGATGAAGGGCAGTGGGACTGGCATTAGGTGGGTGTGGTTTAAATTATCTCTGGGAGATAGTAGAATGCTTTACCCCAGGATCCAAAGATTCTTTAAACACAAACAAACCCAAAAAACAAACAAAAAAGGTTATTGCAGATACTCAAGTCAGGCTGCCATCTCCCTCCTTAGTCCCCTTTCTTGAAGAGGAGCTGAGAGGCTGTCTTTCCTCCCTCTGGGTGTTCAGCAAATTCAGGGTGTCTTCCTGATGCAAGACGGCCCTGAGTCCTGGGCACTGACTGACTTGTGGGGTGACCAAATCCAGTGGGGAAGAGTGGGCCTCAGTCTCCTCATCCTGGTCCCTGCTGTGGCAGACAGGAGAGTAAAAGATTACACATACCAAAAGTTCTTACTTAGTAGGCATGACCCGGAACTTGAAAATAGAAACACAAGCACACGTGTGCTTAGGGTCTCGGTAAGGCTAGAGGAGATTTTTGCAGCGACTTCTGCTGAAGGGCTTGGAGAGGTGGCGCCAAGAGTATTCTCTCCATCACTTCTTTCCCATCCCTGGCACCAGCCCTGTTCCTGGGAGCAGTGCGGAAGCAGCCAGTAGGACCATGGCATCTGGCCCTAGTGTCAGGCTCTTCATCTGCTCTTCAAGGCCACTTGCACCTTGGCCTCTCTATCATGGAACCCTGTAGAATTGCTTTCCAGAGCCCCTGCTCCTCCCAGGGCTCTTCGGGATAGCTGTGGAGGGCTGCAGGACAGTATTTTGTGTTCTGACCTTGCCACCATGCCCTTAGGTGGGTCAGAAGCTCTAAGAGCTAGCCAGGTTATCAACTTTTTAAGATTTATTTTTCTTATTTATGCATACCAGAACTGGGCTATAAGGCAGTGTTGCCAGAGGGTGAGAGGATTTACCAGAGACGAGAGGGGTGGGGCAGAACAGGCAGATCAGTCGAAGTACACTGCTGAGGGGAGCAGCGGGCGGGTCAGGAGAGGTCTGCCGCGCCATTTGGGTCAGCTCCCTGGCCAGGGATAGAATTCATGCCATAGTGGCTGGTGGTTGTTTGATAGTGTTGAGACTTAACTGCTGCGCCACAAAGGAGGCCCCAGATTACCTACTTTTAATCTTAAGCCCTGAGTGGGAACGTATGTAATTGAAAAGCTAACATAGGAGATGAAGTCAGAACTTGAACCCAGCATACCTATCATATTAATTTATTACACATCAGTTACAGGGAGGGAAAAAAAGGGGTTGGGTGCTCCTGAGTCTCAGAGAAAAAGAGACAGGCAGCTCTGGGGCTTTTCCCCAGTAGAGCAGGCTGAGCCTGAATATACAACAAGACAAAGTTAGAGCCCGTGGTAGAATTTGAATAGACCCGATGATAAAGATATTCTAGATTTTAGTCAGATATTTAGGAGCCTGCCAAACTCTAGCTGATGCTCAAGGCACTGGGGAGGGGTACAAAGATAAGTTAGAGACTGTTCTTGGCCTCTAGTTGCTTATTATCTAGGACTTAACAAATTTCCGTAATCCAAGAAAAAGAGGGTGGTAAGTACTAGGAGAGTACAAAGTACAGAAAAAACTCAGAAAATTCTGAGATGTTCCTTCTAGGTAATCCAGAAGGCCTTGTGGAGGTGGAGGCAGAAGCAGTTAACTGGCCCTGGCAGATGGGTCCGATTTCAATCGCAGGCACAAGTGTGAAGTCCCAAGAGAGAGAGGAAAGGTCCAGGATGTGGGTGGAAAATGGTATGACAGAGACCTTGAAAAGGGAGTAAAATGCAGGGGAAAGGTAAGTGGCCTGGAGCAAGAACCTTTGACAACCATCTTTGAAAGAAAACTTTTGAAAAGCTTTAACCGAAGTGTTGAGATCATTTAAAAGTATGTGTCAGTGCGTACATAAAACACATTCAGACAACTTGTGATCATTAAATGTGTATGTAAAGCATGTACATATGGAAAGGGCAAGGCTGCAAGAGTATAGATCTGAGTGTTATTAGTGATTATGGGTGTTGAGAGGTCTGAATCTTTTTTTCATCTTGCTCACATAATGTATTTCTTGACTTAACCTCAATTTACTCTTACTACTTTTATGAATGCCAGTTTTATTTTTTTAAAGATATATTTATGCATACAAGAACTGGGGTGCAGGTGAGAAGTGTGGGGAGTGGTGAGAGGATTTATGAGAGACAGATTGGGGAACAGAATAGGCAAAATGACTGAAATACACTGCTAAGGGGAGCAGCAGGCGAGACAGGAGAGGTCTGCCCAGCCACGTGGGTCAGCTCCCTGGGAAGGGATCAAATGCATGCTGCAGTGGCTGTAGATTGCCTCATAGTGCTGTGCTTTAAACCATTCTGCCAGGCAGGCCTATGTCTGTCATTTTTAATTTGTTTTAAATGAGTACATACTACATAATTGATGAGGGGGGCGGTGACTTAGAAATATACCAGGAACTAGATAAAAACTGAGAGTAAAAGTTGTCTATGCAGCCATTTATGATGTCCAAATCTGAAGTGGGGAACCCCTCAAAAGTCAAATAATATGGGAGTAGCTAAGCAATCATTGTATGTCAGGAATATTATGCAGTCATTAAAAACAACAACTCTGTAGCTGTTTACTTTTGAATAAGGCTATATAAAATGAGTAGAATAAAGCAGAGTTAATATATAGTACATTTCATATTGATTGTTACCATTATGTAAAATGTAAGTAAATACTTAACATGAAGTTGGACAATGTGGATAGTGTTGCTGATGTCTCTTTTTGTGCTAGTAAAGTTTGCACAACATAAAATTTACCATTTAACCACTTTCAGTTTCCAGTCCAGTTGCATTAAGTACTTTTACAATGTTGTACAGCTGTTTGTTCCCACTGTTTGTTTTCCAGAACATTTTCATCCCAGGTAGAAACTCTGTGCTATTAAACAATAGCACCCTATTCCCTTCTCCCCCTGTGTCCCCAGTAATCTTTCTGCCACCTTGTATGAATTTGCCTAAGTGAATTATTTTATGTAAATTAATTTAAATCTATCACATGAAAATAAATTATGTAAATACAATAGTTTTCTTTTGTATCAGGTTTATTTTACTTAGTATAATGTTTTGAAGTTTCATCTGTGCTGTAGCACATGTCACAATTTCATTTTTTTGTACATTACTGATCTCTTGTAGGTATAGCCCACACTTTGTCTATGCATTCTTCTGTTGGTGTATACTTGGTTGTTTCCACCTTTTGACTCTTGCATATAATGCTATGAGAACACGGGAGTGCAAATATCTCTCCCAAGACCCTGCTTTTCATTCTTTTATATAAATATATATATATATATATATAATTTTTGTGTGTGTAATACATACTAGAACTGCTGGCCTGTTAGTGTCTTTTTAGTGTAAAGTTCTTTAAGTTTAAACCTGCATTCCCTGGGATACACATGTGAATTGCCAAGGGCTCACAACAGATGTGATGGCATTTTGCTCTCTCTAAAGACTCTATTGATTTTTTTAAAGATTTATTTACTTATGCATACAAGAACTGGGGTACAGGCCAGATGTTCAAGGGGTGAGAGGATTCACCAGAGAGAGAGTGGGGAACAGCATAAGCTGATGTACTGAAGTACACTGCTGAGGGGAGCAGTGGGCAAGACAGGAGAGGTCTGCTGTGCCATGTGGGTCAACTCCCTGGCCAGGGATTGAACTAGTGCTGCAGTGGCCATGGATAGCGTCCTAGTGCCGTGCTTTAACCACTTGCATCACCAGGAAGGCCCCTCTTTATCGATCTTAAGATAGTAGAGTATTTTCATTGTGGCCTTGGAAAACAGGGTCAACCCGGATGATTGAAAGTTACGGATGTTTCCAGAACCTTACATTTTATCAATTGTTTGAACTTTTTAATTTTCCCAGAAAGCTTTAACCAAGGTAAAAATAAAATGAGTGGATTTATACTTGCTTTATTTTTGTCTTATATAGACAGAAATCAAAGACAGAGGAGAAAATCAAAAGCTTGGATATTTTCCTAAGGTAGATCTCTTAAAGTCCTAGATAGTTGAAAACAGTTAACAATGTTCTCTTTATCTCAGACACCTAGGTTCCCTGGAGCTAACCTATCTGGAAGGGTTAGTCTTGAAGACTCTCAGTTAACTAGATTGAATTTGTGCTGGGCATAGGTGCTCTGCAGTGGGTACTGGAGGGAGGACGATTAGCAGGAGATACAAAGTGGAAGAAGACTTGGGTTTTGTCCACTTTTAGTTCTCTCTTTAATTATGGGAAATGGTCCTGCCCTCAGGAAAAGAACTGGCAGATCACAGTTCATAGTCCATTAGGAACAGGAAGAAGAGACCTGTATGAAGTGGAGCCCTCATCCAAAGGAAAATGGTGTCAGTTGTTTCTAGTGATAAGGCCACTGGCTAAGCCAGGACAGCACTGATCAGGCTTTCTGTGCTCTCAGGGGCTGCTTCAAGTTCCTTTAAGGGGAGGGGGATACAAGTGAGGACATGTGTCAGGCGAGGTGCCCTAGAAGAGAGAAGGTTGGTCACCACATCTCCATGATGCTGATGTCAAGGTGTGCGGGCTGTGCTCTCTTCCAGCTAGCGTCCCATGTGCCGTGGCCCCAGAAAAGTCAGTGTGCAGGCCTCAGCCACCCCAGGTCCGACGGACATTCTCCCTGGACACCATCCTCAGCTCCTACCTTCTGGGCCAGTGGCCGCGAGATGCTGATGGGGCCTTCACCTGCTGTACCAATGACAAGGCCACCCAGGTAATGAAACTTTCCTAATCAGATATGGGGTAAGGATATGGGGGGACGGACTGGCTGAGGAGGCCATTGCTTTACTCACCACCTTTCAGCCATTGGCATACTTTGTCCTGGGTCTCGGCTATTCGCATTTATCATGTAGCTTTTCAGCATCTATTGTCTATGAGCTTGTTTTGCATTGTAAACCTACAAACCTGACTGGTGGAAAAGAGAAGTCAGTTTTGGTTTTTCAGTTTAGCTTGGCGTATTCATCTGTGGATAGGCAAACTGTGCCTTCGGAATATACTGACAGGTTTAAAAAAGTAAGATTTACCTTGCTAAAATGAAACTGAGGCCAACATTCAGTTGAGTTTGCATTCCCTAGACAACTGAAGAGGTGGCCAGAAAGTGTGTGCAGCCAGGCTAGATCCCACTGGACCAATAGGCCCAGGAAGCTCTTGGATAGTGGCGAGTGGACCTGTGGCCTTGGCAGCGCCGTCTGGGCTCTTTGGCTCCAGTGGAGTCCTGTGGTGTCCAGGTCCCCTCCTCACTGTTTTTCTGCACTCCGCTCTTTTCATGGAGAACCCTGACCTTGGAAGGGACCTCCACAGATCTTCCAGTCCACTTGTCAGCTGTGAATCATTTTTGAATAAATGATGTGAACTGGAGCAAGAGTTCGCATCAGAACTCCTACAGATGAACTTTTGTAAAAAGTTATTTCTTGATCTGACTTAGGACTTCAACATTCTTAGCAGTTAAGTTTCCAAGAGTCAGATGTTCCCCCTTTCATGCCGTTTAAACCCATTCCTGTTCCACTTGAGGACAAAGGGACTCAGGTGAGAGGAGTGGGTGGGAGCACACTGGCTGGGAGGGGTCGGCATGGGGGGGGAGGGGGGCCATGGCAGGAGAGCTCTCCGCGGGCTGGGAGTGCGGGACTGCGCTCTGCTCGGCCTGCTGATCGGCGGGGCGCCAGCTGGGAAGGGCTTTGTGGGCCCGCTTTTCCCTGCCTCCTCTTCACATCGATCCTTGTGATTTTTTTTTTTTTTTTTGAATGAGATCCACTTTCGAATGTTATTACTGAATGTTTGAATGCCCAGTACTGTTCTTGGCATGTTAGAATGAAGAATGAGGAAATGAGGACAGGATTTGGCCTCTGTGAGTCTGGATGCTGGTTCCATGAAGGCCACTGAACAGACAGCCAAAAGATGAGATGGAGCCAAATGTCTGGCATGGTTTAGAGGAGGGGAATTCTCGTGGGAATACCCCACCTTGAACCAGCAAGAATTGGCTGCGTTCAACTCGATGGCTTTTGTAGATGCTTGGACCACATGAAGGGAGCACACAGTCCAGTTAGCAGAGAACACCTCTCCCAGGGCGCCCTGGATGCTGTTGGGCCCTGTATCTTTTGAAAGGGACAAGCATGATCAGTGTGCCTCCTCCTCACAGGCCTGAAGCACCCACCCCTCTCTCTTCAGTGGAGTGTTTAATTCAAATAAGGTATCTAGTCAAGGAGGGCTTCCTGGAGGTGAGGACTTGAGGTGGCTTTGAGTGTGAGTTCATGACTGTACCCTCCTCAGGCAGATAGCCCATCTAGCCCTGTCTCTGTCACTTCCTGAGCCCACTCCTCAGATAACTTCATCTTTGTCAATTCAAGGGAAGGTTCCCTCAGAAGTTCCCTGGCCAGATTTAGAGGCTTGGGCCCTCGGCTGTGTTTTTCTCAGGCTCTAGCTACAGGCCAGATCTTTTATATAACAAGTCTGGGCTTCATGCCACAGCCAGACAGAGGTCAGTGATGTGCCTCCATGGGTCTGGCAAGACCGAGTCGTGCAACTTTCCTCTTTCCCCGGGATGGGCTCCAGCCCTCGAGGAACTCATAGCAACCTGTCAATATTGTGGCTGCAGTCAGGAGGTGGGAGGACTCTGATCAATGAAGGCATCCAAACGAAAATACGCACTCTGTCTTTCTTTCATTCCTGGCCTCTGAGAACTTTCTGCTTCTAGGTTTTGGGCTCTCCTCAAATTCCTGCTTGAGCCTCCTGGCCTGGCACCATCCCCCTTCCTCAACACTGGCATAACATTCCAGCAGCCCGAGGGTTGCTTCCCTGCTGCGTGCCCGTGGCTCGCCCGGAAAGGACTGGAGATGAGCGAGCAGGGAGCGGTGTTAATGGAGAGATCCTAGGGCTAGTGGAGTAGGGCGGAGGGAAAGGTAAGGAGGCAGGACTTATGGGAGTCCTTGAAAGCTTTTAAGAGGTAAAAAATATACGAAGTCACACCCTTTCCCTAACTCCTTCAAACCAGAGGCGAGCTGTTTCGTCCCCTACCTCCATCTCTGCCTCTCTTTCTCTAGCCGCACCAGTATAATACACCCACAGCATCCGACAGCCTCGCTCTGGCGCTCTTCCTCGCCCCTCCTCCATCCCACCCCCGCCCAGGGCCCGTCCTAGGAGGCAGAGTGTGTGCTCAGAGACCACATCAGCCCTGGCATTCCCCTGGCATGCTGTGCAGTGCAGACGCAGCCGTCGTTGAGGTTTGCGTTGAGCAGCTCCCTCTCTGAAACCTGAGAGCCGCCAGCCAGGGCCCTGCCATTCCAAGCAAGTGCCAGATCGGGGCCGCCAGGCCAGAATTCTGCGTCCTCAAGACTTCCTTATGTGGCTGGAGATGGGCTAAAGGCTCTCAGTTCTCCGATGTGCCTGGTAGCAGCAGTCCCAGTACTCCCATGCTGGACTCAGCTGGGTTTTGAGCTCTAGGCAGACGCAGAAGACACACAGTTAGCCCTCAGGCAGTGCCCCACGCCTGATGTGAAAGGTGGGTTGCCCAGCTAAGTGGGACTAAGGAGGGCTGGGGGTGTGCATGTAAACTGGTTCCAGGAAGGGGAAGCTATGAATGTGGCAAGCAGGGAAGGGGGCTGTGAGCTGCTGCATGCTCTGAGCCCCCATCTCCAGCAATCAGCGGGGGCAGGAAGCGCTGGGGTGTGGTGGGAGCTAGATGCAGACTGGTCAGCTGGGGTGGACAAGGGCGACTCCCAGGTGGATCCATCTCTGGAGGATTCTTTGTTTCTTGGAGGACTTTGTCACGATTCTCTGCCTGAATGTATATTGTCCCCTCTCTGGTCCACCTTCTCCCCAGTTTAGCCGGTAAAGCAAAGCTGGCCCCCAAATGTTGAGGGCTGGCTCTTCTGGCAACTGGGTCCAGGCCTGGGTGGCTGATGGCAGCACTCACTGTGGTTGCGGTCACCCAAGGTCCTCTAGCTGTGCAAAACCTTTGAGCCTTTGCACTTCTGGAGGAGGAAGTGGTCTTACCACAGCTGAAGTGGCTGTTTGAGCAAAGTTCCCCCAACACCCACCTTCTCCTGCAGATAGCGGGGACCATGGGTACCTGTTTTTCTACTCACCTCCAGCCCCGTCTCCTCCGTCCTGTTAGCTCTGTGTGCTCTAGGTATGTGAGGAAGTCTCCATGATGCCCTCTTATTCTCTAGATCCAACTTACCTTTGGCTAAGTTGAGTCCTTGACGGACCTGATGGAATGTCCCAGGGCCACAGCCATACTTTTTTGAGGAAGACTTCCTTTCTGTGGCTCTTCCCCACCTGGGTAGGGGGTTGCCATCTCCCTCCTTTCCCTAAGCCCTTGCCTAGGCTCTTGGTGGTGATGCACACTGTGGGCTGTCCACTGCAGCCTTCCCTCGGGTGTGTGCCTGCTGTCCACCCTGATGAGCAGGACCAGTTATTAAGCACATGGCTTGACAACTGTACACAATACTTGAAAACTGGCCCATGATGGAAAATCTGAGAGTTGCTTAGTCACTGTAGGGCCAGAGACAGTAGCCTGGGCCACCTGCAGCCAGAGTGCTGGGAACTGGCTGCAGTTCCCAGAGCCCACCCTCAGAGCCTTTTCCTGCCTCCTTGTTTACCCGGAGTCCTGAGCGGCTAAGTCCCTGCTGAATTTCAGTTCAGTTACATCCATCTGTACCTGGCCGGGCATCGTGCTGCTCTTTGTGTCTGTGCAGGTAATGTGTTTCCAGAGCTGAGCTGGGCTCTGCCAAAGTTGTGGGTACAGTTCCGGCCAGGACTCTTTCCGCTTTGTAGTCCAGCTGTGGGTGGGGGTCAGATACCCATGTTCCAGCTTGGAGGGTTTCCACCTCTTCCCTCCATGGCCTTCCTGTTAGACTGCTCTTTGGAAAGCTTGGTATCCTTCACCCCCACCCTCAGTTACCCTTCCACATGTTGCTCTGGGATCTCAAAACCCCAGGCAATGCTTTCTTGGTCTAACCCACATCCAGTTTTGTATCATCTGAGCATCATCTGCACAGTTGGTTGATGCTACTCATGGCCAGTAAGTAGCCCTGCCTCTCCCTCGGCTGCTCCCCCTGGGCCGGGTGTTAAAATAAATCTGCTCCAGTGCATGAGTTCCCTTGACAAACATGACTTTAACCTGCGTAACTCAGACTCTACCCTGCTTCTAAAGGAGCATCTGGAATGCCTTCTTACATGCGCATAACTTGACTCCTGGTGTGGCCTGAAAGGCCACTTCTTGGAGGGTTACCTCTCTGAAATGCACTTTCCTAAGCTCCAAGGAGACTCTGGCCTAAACCCTATGGTGAGACATGGAGGAGGGACTGATCAACCCAGGGGCCCTGGAAATGAGGACAGGACATAGTCCCCACTCTGCACTCCCAATTCAAGCACCTGTGTGCTTAAGGCCGGCATACAGACAGCCTCAAACACTGGCGAACCTACTGCATTGGGTTCCCAAGGCTGCTGTAACAAGGTGCCTCAAATATAGTGGCTTATAACAGTAGAAATTTGTTTTCTCACAGTTCTGGAGGCCAGAAGTGCCAATTCTGTTTTACAGGGCCAGGAGCAAGGTATTGGCAGGGTTGCCGCTCTGGGAGATCCATTCCTTGCCTCCTCAGCTTCGGGTAGCTGCCAGCATTCCTTGGCTTATGGCCACTCCTCTCCAATCTCTTGCCTCTGCCATCACATCACCTTATCTTCTCTGTGTCTAATCTCCTCCTCCAAGGATACTCATAATGGTATTTAGGGCCCACCCAGATAATCCAACCTAATTTTTCCATCTAGCATCCATAATTTAATCACATCTGCAAAGACTATATCATCCAAGGTAACATTTACAGGTTCCAGGGATTAGGATCTGGTATCTTTGGGGGGTCGTTTTTCAATCTGTCATTCCTACTGACCTCACCTCCTACTACTGTGCCCTTAACTCCCTGTGTCCAGCCAGACTGGCCTCCTTGTCATTCTCAACATATGAGCTCAACTGCCTCAGAGCCCATGCACTTGCTACTCCCTCCTCTGGATCCTTCTCCCTTCCCATAGCCTCATGGCTGCTCCTTGTCTCCTTCCTGTTTTTATGCAGATATTACCTCATTGAAGACCTCCTTGAGAGTTAATATCATGTCTTCCCACACCCATGCAGCAATCCGTGTATTTTTCTCTTTTGTACTTAGCACTGTTTAAACAGTATCTCCAAGTGTGTAGACCCAAAAGGGACAGAGTTTGTTATTTGCACACCGTTGTGTCCCCAGTCTCTGACTCTGGAGTGCTAGCTGGACGCACGAATGGTGTGGGATGGTGTGGAGGAGACGCAGGGCAGAGCCGCAGTGAGCACGAGGAGGCAGGTTAGGAAAGGCTCCCTGATGTGGAGACGGGGCAGCTGGGCCAACTTAGACTGAGCTTAGGGGCTAAGGGGTTAGGAAAGAAAAAAGAGATGGAACAAGGTTTTCCTGAGTGGGTCAGAGCCCAGTGTGGTGAGCCCCTGCGGTGGAGGGAACACGGTGATATCTGTGGCCAAGGTGGGCGTTGAGGCAGAGCTCGGCTCCCAGAGTAGGTGGTAGTTGCCAGGAGATGCTGCTGAGCAGAGGAATGGGGGCAAAACAGATCGAGGGAGAAGATGCTTTGCGCTGCCACGAATTTTCACATCGTTTCTAAACCCCAGCACCAGCCTGCCTTTCTCCTTCACCCCCTCATATATCCAGCTAGAGTCTGAAGAGATGTTAGCAGAACTAGTGGCACCCTGAATGTGGCCTTTTTTCCTGCTTTCACCACCCACCTATAAACACAGCATCTTCTCGAGGAGGGCGCTGGGCCTCGTCACTGCAGCCAGTGTCACCCTCTTCTGTAGCCTGTCACCTTTGCAGGGACAGCAGGCTTGGTGGGACTCAGGGTTCGGTTAGCTCAGCTGGTGATCTTCATGGCTGCTCAAGAGCCCTGGGCGAGGCACGTGATGTGGTGGCCAGGCCTAGGTGGCTGTGGTTGAGGCTCTGTCTGCCAACTCCCGGTCTAGAAAAACGTGGGCATCTGGAGGTAGGCCAGCTGCTTGTTTTCTGTCTACTGCCAGGGCCAGCTACACCACAGGGGTGTGGGCCCGGAGCTGAAGCCCTTGCTCTCTGTCCTTTTCTTAAAGGAGGGGGCTGGGGATGGATCTCTGGTAGTCCCCTTGAGGTGCTGGCATCAGGGAAGTGAGGAGGGCCTGTCTCATCCTGACAAAGCACAGCCCGGGAAAGGTCCTGCCTGGCAGGCTGCTGGGAGGAGGAAGAGACTGAGCCCCTGCGCTCCTCTCCCTGCAGCTGTCACACAGGCAGTATGCACCCCCGCCCAGCTCAGGCTGCTCTCACCCAGCTCTTCTGAACAGCTGTTGGGTAGCGAGTGGCTGGGTTTTTCCCCCTTTATCCTCCTCCTCTTCTGTTTGCAACAACCTCTCAGGGGAGGTCAGCAGACACGCTGGAGATGTCCCCAGGCCCTCCTGGTTTTGGCAGCTTGTGCAAAGAAGCTAGAGAGCAACTGGTTGCACTGGAGCATCCCTCAAGCCTCCGTTGGACTGGAAGTGGGGATGGGGGCAATGGGAGGCGCCTCATCCTTGTCTGCCTTGTTCCCGAGCCAACAACTTTCTCCGTTGGGTGGGGTCAAGAAGTGGGACTGCCACCCAGGAGTCGGGGCTGAATTAGAATTCTGGCTCCCCCTTTTCTGAAAGTGCCTGTCCCCCTGAATACCCCAAAGGACTTTGGGTATTCCCAGCACTCACTCTGTGTATGTAGGGGAATCACAGAACAAGCTTGAGGCCCTGCACCACACAGAAGTCATCCATGGAGGCCGGGGGCCTCTGTTGGCCTATTTTCTGTTTTGCCAACTAATGATTCCTTAATGGAGTCCTGTCTAGTACCTTGTTATCTTTGGACCCCAGGACCCTGACCTGTGTTGGGGGTGCATGGATTATGAGAGAATCCAGAGTTCCTATGGTGCCCTGAACCTGGACTTTTGGGGCCTGCTTGGGATAGGGCAGTGCTGGGCACTGTTGGGGAGCACCTGGCGTCATGGCAGCTCTGATGCACATGTAGAAGTTGTAAGAGAACAACAAGCAGGCTGGTGTTGTGGTCCATCAGGGAGGTTTCTGGAGGGTGCAGATTGGCAGGGCAATGGACTGTTGCACAGGAGCTGATGAGTAGAACGCAGAGGAGCCTGTGTGTGCCACCCCTCTGCTTCTCCAGAGCCTGCCTGGGAAGCCCCCCTGACTCTCTGGGTGTCTCTCCCTGTAGACCCCCCTGTCCTGGCAAGAGCTGGAAGGTGAGCGGGCCGGCTCCTGTACGCACAAGCGCTCAGCATCCTGGGGCAGTACAGACCACCGCAAAGAGGTAACTGCCTGCTTGGACTCCCTGGCCCGGTAGCTGCCTCTTGTCCTCCCAGCTCCATGGATGCATCTGCTCCGAAGTAGACCACATCGTCAGTCTCACCTGCTGCTACCTAGCCTTTTCCTGATGAGCGGGCTTCTGCATAGCTGGCTCCCCTCACCCCACCTCCTGGAGGCCAGGGCTTAGGTGCTCAGCAGGGGCTTGGCAGGATGCTGTACCGTCCAGCAGCCAAGTGCGTGGTGGGATCCAGATAAGCGGCTCAGAGACTAGAGAAAGACAAGGTGTGTGCTCCTGGGGAGCCGGACATCCCACATGACATTCTTGTAATCCAGCCCTAGTTTTGTTTTTTTTTTTTTTTTTTTTTTTAAGATTTATTTATTTATGCACACAGAACTCCAGTATAGGCCAGAGGTGCAGGTGCGGTGAGAGGATTCACTAGAGATAGAATGGGAAGCAGAACAGGCAGGTATACTGAGATACACTGTTGAGGGGAGCAGTGGGCAGGTCAGGAGAGGTCTGTCACGCCATGTGGGTCAGCTCTGGGGCTGGGGATAGAACTTGCCCTGAAGTGGCTGTGGCCAGCTTGCAGTGCTGCGTCCTAGCCCATTGCACCACCAGGGAGGGCCCCCAGCCCTATTTTTTGTTTTTTAAGATTTATTTATATGTGCATACAGAAGTGGGGTACAAGCCAGAGGCTCAGGGGCGGCAAGTGGCTTCGCCAGAGGCAGAGTGGGGAGCAGAACAGGCAGATGGAAGAAGTACACTGCTGAGGGGAGCAGCGGGCGGGTCAGGAGAGGTCTGCTACACCATGTGGTCATCTCCGGGGCCGGTGGGAATCGAACTCATGCGGAAATGGCTTTAGCTTCTTAGTGCTGTGCTTTAACCCACTGTGCCACCAGGGAGGGCCCCGCCCTATTTTTTAAAGACAAAAATATTATGTGTTCCCAAACATATTTCCTGGCTCTGCCTCTCTCAGGAGGGCTCAAGTCATTGAGGTTGTGTAGAGAAAGCCGTGGACTGGAATTCAGAAGTCCCAGGCCATCTCTGTCAGGCCCGCCGTGCAGCAGCCCGAGACTGCCACCGCCTCAGACTCCTTCAGTAGAGAGAGCATAGCCTTTGTCCTCTTGGTTGCAAGAGCATAGAGAACATGTGAGGTGTATGCGCTGTAGGCTTACGGCTAATGGAAATAGGAAGTATTTAAAGTGTGTCATTCAGAGAAAGCAAGGTATTTCCACTGAGCGCAGCCCGTCAGAGTGATCAGCGTGACCCCACACAGCTCTGGAGCACCGTTCTTGGCTGTGGGCAGAGCACAAGGCTGTGAGCAGTGGCCTTGCCCCCGGCTTGCAGTGCGTTTCGACCCCCGTTTAAGTAGCTCAGGTTCTCCTGAACTTTTGCCAAAGGAGGGCAGATAGGACCAGAATGACATCTATTTTAGGGATAACATTGAAATTGTTCGCGACCCATCACTGATACAGGGCATGGAGGGCAGGATGAAATGTGATATCCTCCTAGAAGGTTCACTCTGAATTGTCTACTTTAAAATGGGGGGAAATACTTCCCATCCTTCCTGGTGCCAAGGCCTTTGAAATGACTGTGAATGTGCTTTGAGTAGGGGATTCAAAAATATCATTTCCCATTTCTATTAATAGTGTTCCACACCTTGAGAATCTGTGAGAGACAAAAACAGTCTCCATGTTCTTTAAGCTTTAGGAAACTGGCCCATCTGTGCAGTACAGGGCAATTCAGGAAATCAAATGATCTAGTGAATAAGGTATCCAGCTTGCTCGGTGAGCCTGTCACCAGTTTTTAATACCACGGAGCTACTTTGAACCAGAAGATCTTCTCCCACCCTCCCGTCACATATTTTCACGGGCCTCTGGCAGCAGCCACCCCTGGGGGGCGCGACCCAGCGCACGTGTACTGTGCCTTACCTGCCTCTCCTTCCTTCTCGCCGGGCTGCCAGATCACCAAGTTGAAGCAACAACTGCAGAGGACCAAGCTGAGCCGCGGTGGGAAAGAGAAGGAGCGGGGCTCCCCGCTGCCAGGGGCCCATGCTGTGCGGGGCACTGTGAGGGTATGCTCCCCCCCCGCGTGTCTCCCCTTTGTCATCCTCTGTTGGGGGAAGATCTCTCATGTGGGCAGATCCTCTGTCTGCTGCTGCCGAGCCCACGTTGCAGGCTTCATGGGTACCTGGGTGAGGTTTCAGTGCACACTTGGACTTGCTGTCTTGCTATTCCCACATTTCTCTTTTCCTCTGCACTGCCTTGCAGTCGAGGCAGTGATGCCCATGCACCGCCTAGACCACTTAAAGCTCGGACTTCTGGGGAAAACCCGAGTGGGCGGACACAGTGCAGCCAGTCACTGCCCCCACATCTTCCTTCATTTGCTTGGTTCTGCTGTGCAGACATGACCGTGACTCCCTGGTCAGTACTGTTGACGTGGTGGGGCTTGGTGGGCTTCTGGGGATCAGTGATGGTTTCATTTACCTCTTCCTCAGGCATCCCCTCCCAGCTTCTCCTCAGGGTCCCCTGTCCTGCGACTCAGCCCCTGCATGCACCGCAGCCTGGAGGGGCTCAACCAAGAGCTGGAGGAGGTGTTTGTGAAGGAGCAGGGGGAAGAAGAGCTGCTGCGGGTGAGTGGGGGCCATGCCCTGGGGCAGTCAGTGTCCACTGAGTCTGGACGAGAGCACTGGGGCTCGCTGTCTGGGAGCCCATAGCCCGCGTGAGCCACAGGGCCATAAGCCAACACCAAGCCATAGAGGGAACATAAATGAAGTTTATTTGACTCTGCTGTGCTTAGCCATGGACCAACAGAGCTGGGTGGGGCCTTTGGCGGGAGCTTTGTGGGCTGAATAGAGAAGGAGCCGGGGTAGGCAGAGAGCGGGGCCCCCACTGAGAGGAATGGGCTAGGCATCATCCTTTAGCCAAAGCACAGCTCCCTATTCCCTGGGTCTCGTCACCGTCGCGGTTCTTGCCGCCTGCGGCCTGTGCCGTCCCAGCTCTTCCCTCCTATTCCCCCTGGGCACAGCTTCCCGCCTTCCTGCCAGTTGCCACTGTGTACCTTCTCCCCCTCCTCACTCGCAGGCAGAATTCTTTGCTACCTTTTCTGCAGTCTCAGGCACATTTTCACACTGACACAGTACAACCAGGAAAGAGCCGGCGGGCAGTGTCAGGACAGTTCTACTGGATATCCTCCTTGGTTTATGAGTTTCTTGCTGGTTGACTTTTAATTTGCTTTCTGTGGGATTTATACACATCCAAATACACACACACAGCTTGGTGAGCTGTGGGTGCACTGAATGATACGGGGGAGATGGGTATTACTTCATGGTCACCTATGGCCTTGTCCAGAGTGATCTCCAGCGTCACGGTGTCCTGCTGGCCTGCCCTTTCCCCCCACCCATGTTATTCATCTTTGTGTTCCCAGAGCCAGGCGCAGGCAGTTCCTGCCCTCAGGAGGCTTCCTGCTGGGGGCAGCATTCCGATGAGCTGACACAAATAAATATGTCACGGAAAATTGGGCTGCAGGTGTCATGAGGGAGGAGGGGGAAGTGCTGTGGGAAGCGGGGCGGGGTGTTTAGGCTTGGGGGGCGACCAGGAAAAGTAGAACTTCAGGAGATGGTAGCTGTCGTTGCTGTGTGTTAGTAGTAGAGGACGGGAGCCATGGTGAGAGCAGGGTGCTGGGGTCACGGCAGCTCTGCCGCTGACCCACCCTCTTGCCGGCAGATCCTTGAGATCCCCGATGGGCACCGCGCCCCAGCTCCTCCCCAGAGTGGCAGCTGCGATCACCCCCTCCTCCTCCTGGAGCCGGGCAACCTTGCCAGCTCTCCCTCCGTGTCCCTGGCATCTCCTCAGCCTTCTGGCCAGGCCAGCCGCGAGGAGCACCGGGGGGCAGTGGGGGACCTGGCATCGGTCCCCAATGACAAAGGTAAGTGGGGGAGGCTGAGGCAGCAGGACCAGCACGGGAGGGGTGGCGGTAGGATGTCCCCATTCCCTTGCCACCCCTCATCAGTTTGAGACCCTGTATTAACCATCTATTCCCTTTGATTGTACCAGTAATGAGAACCACCATTTACATGGACTCTGATGTATCATTTTTAGGAACTCTGCCCCTAGACTGTTACTGATTCCTCACTGTCGTCAAAGCCATCCCTCTCAGCCCTCTCTGGGGCTGAGGCCAGTGCGCCTTGGTGGAGAACCTGTGTGTCTCCACCCGTCACCAGAAACAGTGTCCAGGTGGTTGGGGGAAGAAATAAAATAAGAAAATGCTGTCTCTTGCCTTGGGCCACACAACTGGATCCCCATCAAAACCCAGGCTTTCTGACTGTACACCTTGCCTTTCCACGGGCTGAGAGGGAGAGCGCCAAGCCCTCCTGATAGTAATGCGCCTGCCTTACAAAGCACGCCTGCCTGCAACATCTGACTGCATTCTCACAGCAGCCCGGGAGGTAGCCCTGTCAAGGGCACGCTAACAACGCACGTGGGTAAACAGAGCACAGAGAATAAGGAATACGTGTGAGATAAACCCAGATAAAGCCAATATTTGCAACCTAGGCAAAGTATGTTCTCTGTGTGGAAAGTGAGGGGAATTTTATCCTACAAGTGGGGTTGAATAAAGATTGCTCCTCTGAGTCAGTACAAGAACTCTTCCTGGAAGAAGGGATAGATTTTCAAGACTGTGGAGAGGAAGAAGCTGTGGTATGTTGGCAGGCAGGGCAGTGCAGTCTTGCAAGAGGCAGAGCGAGACCAAAGTCGGGATTCCTTTAAGTCTGAGACTTGGCATTCTAATTGCTGTCTATTTCCTGAGAGTATAGAATTGGGATTAGTTCTGATTTTTTCATCAGTTCAGCTGTATTTTTTTTTTTATTAAATAATATAATAGTTTATTTTTACATCATTTTGTATCTTTTTCCATCTCAGTTGTAATCCCCGTGGGTTTCCCATCACCAAATCACCCGTGTGCCATCACCATAGTCCAGTGCACTTCCCTCCCCCTGCTGTTTTTGATCCCATTCCCCACTCCACCCCTGTAAAATGTCTCTGGTATATCAGCTGTATTTTTTTAACCCTGTATAACAGGATATATGTTTTGGTCAATTGTCTTAAGGATTTTTGATGTTTGTGTATAAACAACATGGACTAGCATTTCCGCTGCCCCTCCACCCTACCCCCTCCCCAGCCTCACCCCTCACACCACAAGACTCGGGCTTGCTCTGTTTGCAGCCTCCTCTCCGGGCCACCCAGCCTTTCTGGAAGATGGCAGCCCATCTCCAGTCCTCGCCTTTGCTGCCTCCCCTCGGCCCAATCACAGCTATGTCTTCAAACGCGAGCCGCCGGAAGGCTGTGAGCGAGTGCGTGTGTTTGAAGAGGCCACGTGAGTACATCGGGTGGACAGGGCGGGAGGAGGGATACTGATGGGGATTAGTCCTGTCTTGTCCCACCTGACAGTCCCTTCTTCAGTCTTGGGCTCTCTCTCGTCCCGAGGGTGTTGTCAGCTCTAGATTATCAGTCTCACAGTTTTTCCATGATCAAACTTGTTGACATTACCTACTCTGAGCACTTAAATCTTTGCTTATCATTATCTCCATAGAAACCTGCTCTCTGCCCACATGCCAGCCACAGCGCAGCAGGAGCTGGAAGGAAAGAGATCTGAAACCTAAACCCTTGTTTCTTCTTCTTCTTTTTTTTTTCCATCCCTGGGGAAAGGTGTGAGAATCTGCTAGACCACATTCAGAGGGAGAGAGAACATCCTTGCAGCTCTCTTCAGGGGAGAGATTAGAAGTGCCTCGTCCCCACAGATGTGGTGGGGGAGCCTAAAGCTTTCCACTTGCTTCTAGAAGACCAAGTTTGTTTTCATCCTGCTGCTTCAGTAGTTCAGCTGTCACTAACTCCGAGGCTAAAATGTCCAGTCCTTACAAGTAATGACTCCAGAATATGCCCAAACCAGATTGGAGCATTCAGAAGCATACTTTGCCTCGGTTGCTTTCTATCTATCATTCCCTGCCGTCAGCAGAGGGCACTGAGAGTTAACCTTTCCACGTGCCCACACAGCCTCCTCAGCAATCACGCCTGAGCTCGTTTCATTGCCCCTGCCAGCTGAAGTCACCAGTCACACTGGCAGCTCGGGTTTCAGTGGCAGTCCGAAAGTGTACGCCCAGAGTTGGGCTAGGGAAGGATTTGGGTCTTTGGTGGCTCCATGCCTATCTCAGATGAGGGAGGGAGACGAGGCCCATGGTGCAGCAGAAGGACGAATAGAACCCAAGTCATGTTAACATTGCTTCAGGCGTGCTGCTCCCATCTTCACTGTGGCCTGCTGTCTCTTCAGGGCTTCACTGATCCATGTTATAGTTTGGCTACAACTTGGAATTGTTCGTGGGGGTTCAGATACTGCTTGTTTTGAATCAAAAGGTCTTAACCTCTTCTGGTCATCCTGTCTAGCTCCTGTCTAAACGCGGTAAATGGTGGTCATCCCACAGTTACTTTCTGAGATGTTCTGGGGTAGAAATCCTTAGCCCCTTTGGGCTCTCTTCACTGTAACAGCTCCCCAAGTGGGAACTTCTTGTGTTTAGAGGTTCCTCTGCCACATTCTCCTCTTCCCCTCTACTGACATGGTAAGATGGCGGCAGGGGGAGTCAGGCTGCTTGGAGTCCTGCTGTTTGCCCTCGTATCCTTTGAGTCTTCCCTGGTTTCCTCTGGGTCACCTTCCTCCCACATGGCTTCCACACACACCGAGGGCACTTTCCCTCCTGCCCAGTGCCTACCCTTCCTTCAGGCCCATCGGGGAACTCCTGGAGGTGGTGAACTGTGCCGGGCCCCTAGGCCTTCCCAGACGCACCCAGCATACAGGCCTTCATCCCCTCTCACCCCCAATTCCGCCTCTCGCCTGTACCCCTCTGCCTTTCTCCCCATGCCCCACTCTTCTTCCTAAGTTATGAATTTTTAGACTTGTCCGATTAAGATGGAAATCAGTTGATAAAGCTACACCCTGAGTGCATTTTTGTCTCTTTTATGTATTGCACAGGCCTAACTCAACTTTATTGCACTTTGCAGATTATTGAGCTTTTTATACCAGCAAAATGATAATGATTCCTTGAAGGCTGAGATGATGGTTGGTGTTTTTTAACAATAGTGTTTTTTAATTAAGGCTTGTACCTTTTCCCCCAGCTTTTAATTTTTTAGTTTGTTATTTTTGAGCCTACAGAGCGCTTTCCCGTTCGTGTAGCATTCCGTTACGTGGCGCTGCCAGCCTGGACGCCCTGGCGTTGCTCTCCTGGCCGGCCGCTGCCCCCGCGGAGGCGTCTCCTGGAACATGCCCCGCCCCAGAGGCGCCATGCTGATCTTTGTGTTAGTTCTCGGTTTTTCCAGTTTTTAAAGATGCCCTTCCCCACATTTTGCTTCATTTTTTCCTGGGAGAATATGAGAGCCATTTTTATTCCTGTTTCAATGGCATCTTTCAAAAAATTTATATTAAAGTTATATTGGTTTATAATATTATATATTGGTATAACATTTTTTTCAATAGAATAGTGGTTTACACTGTGTTTTGGGAGTAGACAGCGCTCCCATCCCCACCCCTCCCCCACTTCATGGGGTATGCACATTTTTTTTTAATGCATAAAATACTTTTCTACCCTTACTGGCTACAGTGTAGTGTAAGCATAGTTTTGGAAACAAAAATTTCCCGTGACTTGTTTTATTGAAATATTCTCTCTGTGGCTCTGGAAAGCAGGCCGCACTGTGTCTGAGGTGTGCTGTGCTCTCAGAACTAGGTGGTTGATGGAACCACTGGCAGCACTGGCTGCCACACATTTGTACACGTGTCTTCTCATAAGCAGCAGCTTCCCTGGGCTGGAAGCATGGACACACACTCTTGTTATCTTCAGGATTCCTGACTCTAGAACTCTCTGCCCTAACCTCCTTTAACCTCCTATTTCCCCTATATGACTGGAAGGGGATTATTCTTTCCACGTGAAAGGAGAGACTGGTTAGCCAAGATGATGTGGTGACTTAGGATCTGGTTCTGAAAGGTCTGGCTGCCTCTCTCACAATTTTTCTTTTCCTCTCAGCAAGGGTCTTGAAAAATCAGTTTTCAGACATGCTCAAGAATTAGATTCTTGACATCAGTGGCTTGCAAAGGGGGCTGATTTTGGCCCCCTGCCCCTAGACATGTGACAGTGTCATGACTTGGGGCTGGGGAGGTGCTATGTACGTAGAGGGTAGGGAATAGAAATGCTTTTGAACGGCCTACAAAGCACAGGACAGCCCCACAACCAGAACTTACCCTCTCAAAGTATTAGTAGTGCTGAGGCTGAGAAACCCTGCTTTCGACTAAAAAGTCTGCAACAGTCTCTCCGCTCTGTGGCAAGTGGTCTGTCCCCACTGTTCACTGCAGAAATCCCTCAAGAGCCCGTGGCCTCCTCTTCTAGAATCACGTTCTCAGAAAGTTCTCCTTCCTGTGTAGCTCCAGTACCTCCTGTTTCTAGCCACAGTAGATTACCTACTGTTTAGCCATCCAAAAAATGGGAAGTTGAGAGGCCCAAGACTGTCATAAGCATATTTGCAAATTGTTGCTCAGTACCTGTCATTTGGGATCCAGTTCCCCTCCTGTTTGAACACAGACCCAGGGCCCCGTTCCTGTGATGCCGACAGCTCTCGTCCGTTCTCATTTGCTGTTTCTCTCTTCCCTGTGTGTGCCTTCCCTTGAATGTCTATGTGTTTCTCTCTGTTTTCCAGGTCTCCAGGTCCTGATTTGGCCTTCCTGACTTCCTGTCCTGACAAGAACAAAGTCCATTTCAACCCGACTGGCTCAGCCTTCTGCCCTGTCAGCTTGATGAAGCCCCTCTTCCCCAGCATGGGCTTCATCTTCCGTAACTGCCCCTCAAGCCCAGGGTCCCCTCTTCCCCCCACCAGTCCTAGGCCACCACCTCGGAAGGATCCAGAAGCTTCCAAGGCCACCTCCCTGCCATTTGAGCCATGGCAGCGCACCCCGCCGTCAGAAGAGCCCGTGCTTTTCCAGAGCTCCTTGGTGGTCTGAGGGCCCCATTCCCCCCAACTTTTCCCATGGAGAGCAGTGCCTTGGTGGCAGGTCCCTCCGTCATTCCCCTGAGGTGGGAGATGAAGGAGCCCTTCCTTCTTGGCCTTCGAGCACTTTCATTTATTGTGTCAAAGCCCTAGGTCCTCTTTCTGATGGACACTAGCCCCTCTGACAGAGGGAACCTGCCTTTTCCACTAGCAGCTGGGCAGCTCACAAGTCACACCTGTGTTCTTGCCACCTTTCTCACTTGGTGGAAAACACACCCAGAAGGTCCTGGGTCCCCTGCCCCGGGTGTGAGTCCAAAGGACTGTACACAAGACCCTTGTCCTTGTCATGGAGCAAGTTGGTCATGATTGGAGAGGGGGCACCACAGGTTTCCTTCCCTCTCCTCCACAGACACAGACAAGGACACCGGAAGAGAGATACCCCATCTTCCCAACCCCCATCCCTGTACCTCCCTCTGATTGGAGGAGCTGACCAAAGCAGCCCAAAAGGGCCATAACACTTGACCAATCCAGCTGCTGGCAGAGGGGGGATCCAAGCATTTCCCAAGTGGCATTTTCATCTCGCTTTTACCCTGACAAAGATTGTCTTAAGCAGCAGCCCAGCCTGCCCAGCCCCTGGTGGGTCATGGGGAAGAGGGAGAGCTGGCATTCCTCCAGGTGGCGAGTGGTGACTCTGCACTCTTCACCTGCCCCAGGATTGGGTTGGATTAGAAAAATGCCTATTTTTCTTGTATCGATGTAGAAACTCTATTTTCTCCCAAAGACACTATTTTTGCAGCTGTTTGAAGTTTGTATATTTTCCGTATTGCAGAGCTTACACGAGATTGAAGAATGTTAATGTTCAAGTTTTCTTATCCTGTGTTTAGAGTTTTTTTTTTTTTTGGCAGATCTTGGTGTTAATAAACTGAATAAGTATTCCCAACAGCTTGCTTGAAGTTCTGTTAAATATTTTTTTGGGAGGAGGAGCCGGATGGAGATGTATCTACTCCTTAGCCCCTACCCTAACTTGTGATGATGTGTATGTGGATGTTGTACTGGGGGAAACAGGGCCCTTGTCCTCAGGCCACCGGGCTGGAACTCCTTACATAGATATTTAAACAACAGATCCAAGTAAAGGGTGTCTGTGATAAAGAAGGGTGTGTATCCTGGAGGGTAGGGTGAAGTCATCCATTCTTTGGTGATTGTGGGAAAACTCCCTAAGGAGGAAGAGTTTCACAGAGGAAGTGAGGTGCCCAGGGAGACAGTTTGACTTTGTGGGTACTCCTTATAACCGCAAGGGCACAAGACCAGGGAAAGGCATCCAGGTTGCATCTCTTGGCACAGTTTTAGGGGCATTTTAGCTTTTTTTTTTTTTTCTTTTTTAGCATTCTTTCATCTCAGTAACTACGACATAGAGGGTAGAAGTCTTGTTCTTTTGCAGCCCAACTGCTTTATAGTGCTGTGTCCGTAAAAAATCTTGGGCTTTATTTTTTGTGAGTTAGTACTTTGCAATTTATAAAACATTTGTATAAAAGACACAGTATCCTCACTGTATGGGTGAAAAGTTGACTAATCCATGGCATTCATAATATAGCATTATCTTGTCATAAATCTCAAGACTATCCCAGATACTACTCATTGGCTAAGTAAGCATCAGATACCTTGTTAAGTGCATTACATAAAATGTCATTGAAATATCAGTAAGAAAAAGGTGATAAATCTGTTTGTTGTAGTGAGGGAATGACTGATTAAATAGTTGCCCCAAAGATACCAAATAGAGAAACTAAGAATGGGAACCAGGTCATTGAATAGAGCTCCTGTGCTTTTTACCACAGTGCACTCATATTCAAGTAGGAAACTTGACTCAGTTTGAAAGCTTTGAAGTCCCAGCTAGTAAAGAGGAAGAACTGGGGCTGGAACCCTGGTCTCAGCCTAGCCAGCGGGGCTGGGCCCTGATATCACAGACTGGTGCAGTGGAGCAAGCTACTGGACAAGAGCACAAACGGGGTTCACCCCCACCAATATAAAGGAGACTGGATTGAGAACAGACCCTATTTCTCTTACCCCTCCCCCAAAAGATGTTTGGCCAATCCCCAAAGCCTTAGTGAGTCAGGCCCGGAGTGATGGGTGTGGTGCTGCCCCGAGTTTCCTTCCTTTGCCTTAGGCTGTGCCAAAGGAGCCAGAAGAGACCAAACTCTACCCAGATAGCCACGTGCTACTTACTGTGGGGGGGTCGGGGGTGAGGGGGCCAGAAGGGAATGTGGGGATTGGGGAGGGTAGAGGGAAGGTCTGGGATCAGTCTCACCCCAGCTTTGGTGGCAGCAGGTGGAGGAGACCCAACTATCGGATGAGGGAAGTGTTGACCCCAGAGCTCAATGGGAAAGAACCTGAAGGTCGGAGGAATGTCAGTTCCATTGTTGTTGAGTTGTAAGACCCTGAAGTAAACTCACTTGGTAAGCCTCTATTTCCACCTCCAGGATGTGAGGAAAAAAGGTCAGAGTTGATAGAGTAATGACTAATGATATCTAAAAATGCACAGCACACCTTACAGTTTATAAAGCACTTTCACAAACCTCAGCTCATTTGTTCCTCAAAAAAATCAAGAGGTGACAAGGTGGTTATTACTAATTACCTAGCCCTAATTTACAGACTGGAAAAAACTGTTGGCTAGGCATTTCGGTGTCACGCATAGGTTGCCCTGCTTTTGTCAGGCTCTGACCTAGCAAAGCTTGACTGTGTTGTCCATGAAATTAGCGATGGGACCCTAAGAGAATGACTCAAAGTTCTTGAATCCTCTTCTGGCAGACAGGGTAAAGTCGCTGACTCTGGGCAGCAACTAGAGGGCGCTGAGAGTCCCCATCAATATTAAGGAGCGTTAGGACCCAGCAAAAGCCTGACTGTCCACTGGGAAAAAAACTATTCGATTTGCCCCGCAAGTCGCACCTCCTCCTTCCCGCCCACCTGTCAGTCTTCGCACAGCACAGCCAATCGGTAACCTCCACATCCTTATACGTCATCATTCCACGCCTCCATATCTTTCAGGACATCACGTCGAAGTCCTGGTCGTAGTTGTCTTCGGAATTGCCTGATCGGAAAGTTTAGAGGGCAAGGCATTAACATTGGAACAGCTGGGTGCCCTGGCCACCGGGAATAAAATCAAGGTCCTGGGACAGGTCCCCTTTCCTTGGAAACGCTTTATGGGTTCTGAGGCGGTTTCCCTGAGTGTCCCTGAGCTGGCAGTTATGGCTGAGGCCGCTGGGGCCTGCTGGGTGGCCGTCGCATGCAGCTCCTATGAGGCCCGTGTCGCCGGTCAGCGATGTCCGACTGGAGCTGTCGCCGCCGCCGCTGCCGCTGCCACTGCCGGCTGTGAGCGGGTCTCCGGCCAGGTCGTCCGGGCGTCTCATGGCCGCAAGCAACCCCCTGGTGCCCGACCGGCTGCGCCTGCCGCTCTGTTTTATCGGCGTCTTTGTCTGCTATTTTTACTATGGGATACTGCAGGAAAAGATGTGAGCGAGTCCCCGCTGCTGGAACCCAGAAATCCCCCCCAGTTCGCGGCCCGATTCGCGGACCTGCTGCCCTGGCCCAGAGTTCCCCACCAGCACACCCCCACCCCATCCTCCAAGGACCCCAACACCTTTCTTTGCAGCTGAGGCTGAGCCTCTCAAGGTTCCCATAGCGCGGAAGTTGGTCTCTGGTTTCTTGGGACCTGGTTATTTTCATTCCCTTTGTTGCTATCCCCCAGTTGGTTCCTTGGGCCTCAGTTTCACAGTCTGAGGTTTCCTTGCAGGCTCCACTTGGGAACTTCCATATGGTCGTAGACAGCTGATTCGTTCGTCGTTGGCCCTCTCTAGCCCACGTACCTTATCTTGCTGTCTGGGGTACCTAGTTTCACCATCTGATTTTCCACGGTTCCTCTAGCTCCTTCCTTTATGGATATTTTCGGCCTGGGCTCGTAGCAGGCTGGATTGTCTAGTTTCTAGATCCAGTAAAATCAGCACCCTTTATAGATGAGTCTAGAGATCCTTCCCAAGCCCTCTGTATATCCATAGTCAAAATACTTTGAAATCTTTCAGTGACTCTGACATACAAGGTGAAACTGAGCGAAAATTTCCAATTCCTGCCCTCTCTTTCATTTTTAGAACAAGAGGAAAGTATGGGGAGGGAGCCAAGCAGGAGACATTCACTTTTGCCTTAACTTTGGTCTTCATTCAATGTGTGATCAATGCTGTGTTTGCCAAGATCTGTGAGTACCTAGCTAGCAACCTGTTGTGTCCCCTTTATGCCCTCAGTGTCCTTGGTATTAGACAATGATCCAACATTAATGTCTTACTCTCAAGAACCCCACTTCCTTTAACACTTAACTTAGCTCTATAAAGTTGATGGTTTTGTATCTGGGTAAATATTCATTTCCTTACTAGTACAACTTGTGAGTCAGAAATGGGTTCTATGATCCAGGCCACATTGAAAATACTTAATTTTTTTTCTTTGTCCCCTTGATTTTCCTTTATGTGTCCGTTTCAAGCATTTTCTCATTTTCCTTGAGTGCTAGTAAGCAGGACTGTCTAGATAGCTCCTTATCCTGAATGAGATCACCACCTCTGCTGTACCTTGGCTTGTATTAAATTTAGGTGGCAGTTGAGTAATCTTCAGAGATTTTTCAGTCTAAGAAGACAGAAAGAGTTTGTGTTTCTGTTCTTATTGCTAGACAAGTACCTTTCATATGGCTTCAACTTCTGTTTAGTGATGCATTCTAGGTCCACTGGATTTCTCCTGTATATTTTTGTGTGTGTTTTGTTTTTTGTTTTTTTGTCTTCTCCCAGTGATCCAGTTTTTTGACACTGCCAGGGTGGATCGCACTCGGAGCTGGCTCTATGCTGCCTGTTCTGTATCCTATCTGGGTGCCATGGTCTCCAGCAATTCAGCACTACAGTTTGTCAACTACCCAACTCAGGTGAAATCTCAGGGTGGAATGAGGGTTGGCTCAGAGTTGCTTGAAAAGAACTAAGGATCCTTCCCTCAGGTCTGTGACTTACATAAAAAGTGTGTCTAAGAAATTCGAGTGTAAAGAACCACGAATCTGAGGCGTGGTAGTGGTTGGTTGACCGTGATAGGGCTGCTTACGGAGGCTGCAGTCTCTCGTGCAGACCCCACATTTACTCAACATAGCACCTAGTACAGTACTTTAAATATTACAGATCCTCAGAAATTATTTGCTGAATTTAATTTCAGGTCCTTGGTAAATCCTGCAAACCAATCCCAGGTAAGTCGAAGAAGATGGATCTCATCTTCCGCCCTCATTCTTCCTGTAGGCTACTCTCTCTTCTGCTAGAGCTCTGTAACCCTCCAGGCTTCATCACCCCATCATAGCTGTCTCCAAGGGTTTTCCTCCATCCTTTCTCCCTGAACATCCTGTCACCTGCATCACTTCTATGGTGCAGTTCTTACTGGGAGCTGGAGGCTGACTAGTCGGTCACATGGCCCCATGTATTTACATTGTCGTTAGCTACTCTAGAGTCTGTTTTTATTGTTACTCTCTCAACCTCTCACTTTCCCCCACTGTCTCCACCCTTGTGCCCTCCTGGACCTTTCACCTTTGCTCCCAACCTTTGCCTGCCTTATGCTCTGTTTAATCCTGTTGCTCAATCGCTTTTTATCTAGATGCCAACCTTGCACTTTCCTTGTCTATTATAGACTTTCCACGTCAACATTCTTTTCTGTCATGATTCTTTTCTAGGACAGTGGCTGGGCTCATCCATGCCTGAGGTTGCCTGACTGTTCTACTTTGTTTCTTCCCTGTAGTCATGCTCCTTGGAGTGACCCTGTTAAAGAAGAAGTATCCAATGGCCAAGTACATGTGTGTGTTGCTAATTGTGGCTGGAGTGGCCCTTTTCATGTATAAGCCCAAGAAAGTAGCAGGGGTGGAAGAACACACAGTTGGCTATGGCGAGCTGCTCCTGGTAGGCAATTCTGTTGGGAATGGCCCCTTTTCCAGTAATCTTAGCCAAGGCACAGCCCAACCTAGGCAGGCAGCACTCTGTCAAGGAAAGTTGAGGTACTCCTTGACCTCACTTCTAAATTCTGTCTCTTGCTGTCTGGCCTATGGTTCAGCTGCAGCTGTACTGGGAAGCCTGAAATATTTAACTACAGTTCAGCTCTCCATCTGGGGAAGCCATGACTCCAAGGCCTGTTTCTAAAGGCTGAGGTGAGAACACAAAGATCTGAAGGCAAAGAGGGAAGGAGTTAACGTGTTGTTAACTGAACACCACTAAAAATAATGCTGTGGTAGCTATTCCTTACTGTGGATTTGGCCCTGTTTCAGTATTTCACAGACTAATTGATGAATTTTGATGATAATAACCTCATGGCATAGGTGGATTACTGTTTTACAAGTAAGGAGATAGAGAAGCTTAAGTGATAACTTGTTCGTGATAACATGACTGTTAAGTGGCAGTATTAGTGGTGAGGCCCAGGCAGTATATGACCACAGAATCCAGACACTGGGCACTGTACAAGCTATAAGCCAGGGGACTAAGGTGCTGGGAGCAGATTTCCTCTCCAGCTTTATTGGAAGATCCATGTGCTTGCCCCAGCCTGCTCTAGACCACTGCCTCCCACAGCCAGGCACATGGCATTGTATTGGGAGTGGGCTTTCTGCCCTGCTCTGATCATATTCTCACTGTGTTGTTCAGTAACTCCAGTGCCTGGGGGCAATAGGGATAGAGCATGGTCTCACCACTCCCCACCCCACCCCCCATTATCAAGTGGTAGCATTTTCTTCTGAGAATGCAGTCTCAGTGTCCTGTCTGCCTTAAGGCAGTGACTTTCTGAGGCTTCTCAGACAGGTGAGGGTCCTTTGTCTTGGATTAGCCCACAGGGCTTCCCATGTCCCTCTGCACATTTTCTTTTCCAGCTATTGTCTCTGACCCTGGATGGACTGACTGGTGTTTCCCAGGACCACATGCGAGCTCATTATCAAACAGGTTCCAACCACATGATGTTGAACATCAACCTTTGGTCAACATTGCTGCTGGGAGCTGGTAAGGAGCACTTCTGCTGTTCTTTCCAGGTCTCACCAGAGGGCACACTGCCCTCATCCAGTTGATCCCTAGCTCATATGCCAGTGGCTAACTGCCTAGGCCAAAGACCTGCCTCTGTTCTAAGATGCCCCCGTGGCCAAGCCCAGGGGAAACCTTCCTGGAGAAACTCTAAACAGCATGTTGTGCATTGTGCTTATTTCTTGCACAGTCAGATAAACGTGAGCCAGGCATCATGGGAGGACACAAAGTAGAACCCAAGCCTGCCTGGGGAGCTTGCCCTCTTGTGCAGGACTTGAGGCCTTGATATGCGGTGGGCACTGATTGTAGCTCAGACATGAATGCATCTGCTGTAAATCGGTGCTGCCTGGCCTTTCCAAATCTGGCCCCTGCAGAAAGTGGTGTTTGCTCAGCAACCGGGTTAATGGATAAGGCTGCTAAGGGCTGGAGGTGACTGTTGCCAGGGCTGCCTCAAGCTGGGGGTGTTTGGAGCTGTAGCTTTGCAACATCTGAGGATCACTGCTTTCGATTACTTTGCTCGAAACAGCTCATTAACTTCCATGCCTTCCTTGGGAAACTCTTTAATTTCTCTAATCAGAAAGTGGGAGAAGGTGCCTGAGGGGACAATACAAACTTAAGCCATACGTCCCCCCTCCCCATCAGAGGACTCTGGTAGCCCACATGTGAGTGTGTGTGTGCTGCGTCACACAAAATGCGCCATCCATCTTTTGATATTTCTCCTTAGGAATCTTGTTCACTGGGGAACTCTGGGAGTTCTTGAGCTTTGCTGAAAGGTACCCCACCATCATCTATAACATACTGCTCTTTGGCTTGACCAGTGCTCTAGGTCAGGTGAGTGCTTTGAGTGGTTTGCTTCCCCAAGGGAGTCTAGGCTGATGGGGAGGAAGGGGTTGCAGGATTAGCCTTGGTGACCTGTTACTGGCTTTAGGCCTTGTGGCTGATATCTAGGAGCCAGCCTGATCCCATCTCTTTCTCCCCCCCTCGTTAGAGCTTCATCTTCATGACAGTTGTGTATTTTGGTCCTCTGACCTGCTCCATTATCACCACAACGCGAAAGTTCTTCACCATTTTGGCCTCCGTGATCCTCTTTGCCAACCCCATCAGCTCCATGCAGTGGGTGGGCACTGTGCTGGTGTTCTTGGGTAAGTGCCCCCAGAGCAGGCATCTCTGGGCCACCCAGGACAGTTACAGGACTTTTTCCCCCCTAACCTTGTATATTTATGAAATTCAGTTATTTTAGTGTTTCCTTTCTTTTTTAAAAACAAAGGGAGCATGACCTCTG